GAGCTGGATAAAATGTCTGAGAAGTCTAACTGCATCAAGTGCATCTGTGATATTCCACCAGTGGCGACTTGCGTTGAAGTTCCAAAACGCATTTGTCTCATGACTCCTGCAGAACGAAATGAATCTCACGAGAAGTCGGATTAATCGGTTTTAATGATTATCTATCTGTAATTTCGGATGATGTATATGTGACAGTTATATTGTAATAAAAATATTTGAATTCGTATATGAATATTTGTTTTATCGTTACTTTTTGTCATTCCTCTTCCTTCAGGTTTGATATCTCAGTAGAAAAATACATGGAATATTTAAAATTCATGGAATATTTAAATTCATGTCCGAAATCCATTTCGAGCGTAAAAATGGCTTTCAGAATTTTTTACCTCTTACAAATAAGAGAATTCCTCAACAAAATTTGTGAATTTTTTCCAGAAAAATATATTCCACTTCTTCAGCGCTGTAAACTTCGATTGAAGTCACCTGAAATTAATTACAATTACCAATCGGAAGATTAAAGTTCGAGTCCCAGTCTTTGTTCAACCTAAAGCGTAAAAATGTCAAAAAATGTGAGTGTGAATAATAAATATCGGAAATATTTGTGCTCCGATCTACAAAAATACAAGAAGAAATCATTAACGACTAAAAAATATAAATGAAATCAAATATTAAAATAAAATAAACAACTCCTTATTGCCATTGCGAAAGAATCCGTTCTAGTTCTCACACTCTTTTATCGCAGATGGCTATTTTTACCAGATAAACAATTATGTAACGGAAAAATAATGTTTATGAGATAGTGAATGTGATAATAAATATTCCCACATTAATCATGGATCGAACTTAGATCGACATTCGTGACATTAAAGCTTGTTTGTCCAATTTGAAGAGATCAGCATTATGAGCTGACGTCTTCTGGACGACCTTCACTCACTCTGTTGTCATCTCCGCCATTATTCCATTAATTAGAAAAATTATTTAATCTCAAATGAATTATCATTAATCCAGGGGTGAGAGGTGATACCGCTACGAGATACGATTCGACCCCTCGCAATTCTTTTCTTTACCCCAAGGTATCTCATCTGTCCGATCAATCCATTTCATATATAAACGGACAATTACAGTTACCAGTCATACTCAACAATGAAGTCTACCATTATCATTGTCCTTGCTCTCTGCATCTGCTGGACGGCGGCGAGGTCTCCTCCTAAGCCAGGTAAAATCAACTGCAATCATGAAATAATAATCATTATTCCATACTACTTTCGTTTTTTATTCAGGATGTGAGAACGACTGCCCAGGACCACTGAAATTCTACAAAGAATTGGGATGCAAGCCTGTAATGATGAATGAGGGTGACTGTTGCGCTCAGAGATACGATTGTGATCATTTAGCAACTCGATCAAAGGACAAGTGTCATGCCTTTGGACGAGAATATAATCCCTCGGAGGAACTTCGTGAAGAGGACAAATCATGTCTCGGGGAGTGCACTTGTATAAAGCCAGGAGAAGACGAGTGAGTGTTCTTAATAAATAATTAAATCATTAACTTCATCATAATTCCATATTGCAGTCCCACGTGGGCTTGTGCTACTGTTGAGCTGCAAGTACCATCTGCTGCTGGTTGTTACCGTCCACAAAATGCATCGATGTGCTTCCCAGGACCTGAAGTTTGTCGTAAGAATTGCATTTGATATTAATTACGCATGATGTGAGTTGTTAATTATTAAACTTATCGTCGATGCAGCTCCAAATGCTGACGATATCGCCAAGTGTGAAGTGGATGGGAATACTCTGAATGATGGTGACTACTTTGAGCCAGCAGCAGATCCGTTCAAGGCTTGCTGGTGTGGTCCCGGATGGAAGGGTAAAATCAAAAAATTATGGAGTTGTTTGAATGAATTCGAAGGATTTATCGTTCACAGGTGAATACGAAGCGCCGTTCTGCAAAGATATGCGGGAGCAAAAGTGCGGGATGGAGTTGCATGATATGACAGAGTTGGAGAACAATTGTGCTCCAATCTGGTCAGTTGGACAAGACCCGAGA